GGGGGGGGGGGAGTGAAGCATGAAGGCTCGGCCAAGGACAAGGAGTTTGCAGAGAGAGAAAGAAAGGGAAAATCCAAATGACCAGGGCAAGGGTGCCACAGACAAGAGAACCCATAAAAGGGTAGGGCAGGTAACTGTATCTCTTTCTCCAGGACTTCCTACTGGTCACACTACTCCCTCAATTTCTCATATGTACAAAAATATAAAACAATAAAGTGCAGTTTATGTTTCAATGACACTTTTCCTTGCTTTAATATTTGTCTTTTTCTGCTTTTGAAATGAGCTCTCGATTACAAAATATCAAACTACACTCAAAAGAGGGTGTAGAAAAAGCCAATCACTGGCATAGCATGGAGAAGCCCACAAGTAAGGACAGATAGCAGCGGTGGGTAGCAAGAGGTGGGAGGTGATTGAAGCAGTGGTTACAAATGTTCACAGGAAGCTAAAACTAACAGGTTGTGCCCTAATGCTAGCATGGGTTAGACTAGTCACTACCTTGGTGGGTGGCCTCACTGTATTTCAGTTCAGATTCTACACAGCAATACAATTTCTTCCAGTTAAGAGTTCTTGGCTTGCACTGATCACAGGGTGACTGGAGGGTACTGGACCAGTCCATTAGTTTTTCAAAATGCTGTCGTAGACCTGATAGATGTATTGAGAGACTTCAGGAGCTCTACACTTCAGTGACAGCTGTTAGGAGGAAAAGGAGATGGAAGATTAGCACAGAGGTTGGTTTTAACTCTAAAGGTATCCAAGCACTCAGGTCAAGAAAACTAACACAATGGGAGAGTAGCTTCTGTCACTGGAGTAGACAAACAAAGGATCACGTTAATAGGTACTGGTGTTTTAGAATTTCAAATTTATCAACGTCAAGTTGTGCTATGTTTCCCCCTATGCTCTATGTGGGTTTATGAGATCAGGAAATAATCTGTATTAAAAACATCAAAGTATCTGACAGTAGATAGGACAACTGCTCTAATGCTCTGCTGAGAGTTATAGGGATTATTGCCAAATGAAAAGGGAGGCCAAAACCCTTTACTTGGGATAGTCATTTCAGTAGTCTGCCTCAGTTTCAGCCTGAAAAAGATGGTTCTATCTCAGTTTCAATTTCAGGAGGATGTACAACCAAATAAAATAAAAATGTAATCTAGGTAGATCCGAGGTACTAGTCCTTTCTGTATCATAATGAGGAGAGTATATGCCCTAAAGAGGCAAGACAAGACATTTACTTGAACCACAATTTGGTTCAAAGTCAATGGTTCACCTTCTATTTTCTGCCTCCTTAGACAGGGACATCAGATATTTCTGGTACCACTCTACTCCCTCTACCATCATCTCTTCTTTTAAACATTTACCTTATTAAACATCAATAGTAAAAAGATCTCAATGTTGAATATTGAGAATTTCACTTTGTGAGTCAATAAAGACACAAATCCAGATTTTGCAGGACAGAATATTAACAATAACATAAGCATTTAAAATATATCCTAGAACCAGGAAATATTTTTGTATTACTGATATCATTGTTCTTGTTTATTAGGGCACATAACAAAAGTTGTCTTAAACTACATATCACCATGAAACTTTAGACTATTTTACTTTCTCTAAGGCATTTCCCACACTGCTGCTTGATATTAGCTAAAAAGACAATTCTGACAAATGTAAAAAAAACAAAAACAAAAACCAAACAACCAGTTTAAGACATAAATATATGTAGAAAACAGCTTCTGACATTGTTCTAAGTTTCAGCTTTAGGCATTTCCCTGACTTTTAAACACCCTAAGAAGAAATTCTCTTACCACCTCCTCCTCTACAGCCTTCTCCACTGCCAATGTTGTGGAAAATTCTAGTGGGAGAATATGTGGGTTCAGAAGAGGAGAAGGAGGAGGGGAAACTAAAAACAGGAACAACAGCTTAAGAGAGTCAACTTCCAGACTAAAGAGGGGGAGTTCCTCTTCCCCAAAATACTGTTCTATATTTTTTCACATCTTTGTAACAATACCTGAAGTTCTACCAGCTGAAAGGGTTTTTTTTGGTTTGTTTTTTGAGACAGAGTCTCACTTGGTCACCCAGGCGGGAGTTCAGTAGTGTCTTAACAGCTCATTACAGCCTCAAACTCCTGGGCTCAAGTGATCCTCCAGCTTTAGCCTCTCCAAATGCTGGGACCACTGACAGATACTATGCCTAGCATCACTTTTCTTCATGACTAGTAATAAAATATTGCCTTCTTCAACAAAAGCCCAAACTGCCAAGGTTGGCACTGGATGAGGAGGCAGGGACTGAGCAGACCCAGGCCCGGAGCACTACAATTGCTCTTTAGAGGAGGGGAAGGTTATTTCCCTTTCTCTAGAATCCTAATGTCCCTGTCCCTCCATTCTCACCTCCATCCCAGCCCAAACAAAGGGTGAAGTTTCTTAAACACAGCTAGAACTCTGGGTCTCGTTCTGTATGGCTCCAAGGAGAAAACAGGCCTTCCCTGGGTCTTAACTTTCACACTGCTAACCTGCTTATATCACACATCTTTAACATCAACTGCTTAGAACACTGCCCATATAGCCCATTAAGGGCTTTAGAGTCACCTGTCCTGCCTAATTAAGCAAAAAGCTTACAAATCCACTTCTGGTATATAGTATGGAACATAACGCTTCTTCACCTGGGACAAGTTATCTAGTCAGGTAAGACTTACCTACTTAGAGAGATATGGCCTCACCCTTATCGGATAAACACACCTTCTTAGTGAACCACAGTAAGGACTGGTGCTGGGAAAAGTGCTCTATGAATGCCTCTTAGGAGACTAGGGGACCATCAGCTCTTCATGCATAGTACTGGCTCACTGGTATCTTTCCTCCTTAATACTGAGCTGAGATCAGATTAATCAGATCAGCATTTAGGGTAATGGAAGGGAGGGAATGGATCTGAATGATTTTAGAGTCTGGAGTGCCAATTTGGTTAACAGATTATATGCTTTCATCCGTGCTGTGATGAAAGATTTAGATGGTTCTGTGGTCACAGACAGCCTAGTCACCAGATGGATGGAGACTAAGAAAGGAAGTACCGATTCACCATTAAAAAAATACAGGGCGGCACCGGCCTCATATGCCAGAGGTGGCGGGTTCAAACCCAGCCCAGCCAGCCAAAAACTGCAAAAAAAAAAAACAGGAGAAGAAAGAAGGTAGATGTGGCAAAAATGGGTACATAAGGACAAACTCTTATTTTTTATATATATGTATATATAAATAAATATACATATACATAACACATGTATATATACATATAATATACATATATTTATATAAATATTTATATATATAAAAATAGAGAACAGCTGCCTCAAATATATATATATATAAATACATATATATATCAAATTATATATATATATATATATTTATTTATTTTTTCCTTCTAAAGTCAGGGTCTGAAGTTGTTGCCCTGCGAAGAGTACCGTGGCATCATAGCTCACAGCAACCTTCAACTCTTGGGCTAAACTGATCCTCTTGCCTCAGTTTTTCTATTTTTAGTAGAAACAGGATCTCACTTTTACTCAGGCTGGTCTTGAACTAGTGAGCTCAAGCAATTACCAGTCTTGGCCTCCCAGAGTGCTAGGATTATACGTGTAAGTGCCTGGTCCAGGCTCTTATTATGTTCTTTTTTAAAATTTAACTTTTATTTGTATTTATTTTATGTTGCATTCCCAGGTTACACATTCTTATTTTTTTAGTTTCATCTATATCTTTTTCTTCTATGCAACCTTGTCTTCTGGTTTAGGAGCGTTTATTCTTTTTCAGTAAGGATCATCTCAATGTGGGAGAGAGTTCACGTATGGGATAATCCGACCATGAACTCTGTATGGTAGCACATCTTGGGCTCTGTTTACCCAGAAGTGCCCAATCACCAGAGAATCCAAACCCTTAAGTTAGACCTGGCTCTACTGCACTTCTCTATGTGCAGTAAAAATTCAAACCTCTTTTTGGGCCACAGATCCTGTGCCCAGCCCCTATTTGGCTTAGGCACACCTACCAACTCCACCACTTTAATATGTTTGAAAAGCAATACTACATACTGCTTCTATAACGTGGTATCTTTCAAATATTTGCTGGCTTTTGGATATGCATACCTTTGATGGGCATTGGTGTCCTTAAGTAAACACGAAGATTTGATTCATGTGACTTTGTGGAATTTTTTTTAGAGATCACCTCAAGACACTTATGGGAAGAGTTCACTGTATAATTTCTTACAACTGTATGTGAAGAATGTTAAAATAATTTTTTTTTTTAAAAGTATAGGGAGGAAGGCTCAGCACCTGTGGCTCAAGCGGCTAAGGCGCCAGCCACATACACCTGAGCTGGTGGGTTCAAATCCAGCCC